AATCCTAGTACTGGGAGGCAAAGATAGGATCCTGTTGGTCCACTGTCCCATCAGCCTAGCCAATCAGCGAGCTCCAGGTTCAGTGAGAGACCATGTCTCAAAAAATAAGGTGAGAACTGACAGAGGATGACTCCCAACATTGACCTCTGGCCTCTACATGTGAACACATATGAGTGCATTCATGTACACATAGAGAGAGAGAGAGAGAGAGAGAGAGAGAGCGCCTGAGCAGTATCCGCATTAATGAAGATGGGGTTTAGTCTAAGATTTCATGGGTGACCTTGCTGAAGGATTCAGTGGGGCACTGGGCTTGAAAAGGAAGTGAAAGACTCTACCCAAACAAGCACGGCGATCTCTTCAGGAAGAAGATAAGTGACAGAGACTGCAAGACTGAGGCAGGGGCACACACACAAACTGATTTTTATTTATAATAAATGAGCATATTTTATATGACTTTTTGGGAGGCTTCCAACACAGTTGGACATGGTACCTCGCTCATCGCAGTTAATCAACAATTCCTTTAAGAGGGCCTTCTCATCCCATCCCTCATTCCCTGCCATTAACTCCATCTTAAGAAAAACAAGCTCATATTGTGTAGAAAAAGTGTTGATAGGCGGGGGGGGGGGGAATTCAGAGATATTTCTACTTTGGGGAATGTGTGGTAATAGTCACTAAGTAGCTAAGCAGCTAGACGCTTACTTGATTCTTTTCTTCAGCCTACTTGTGGGAAACAAGGTACCCTGAAGATGTACAGGGAGTAGAGTAGCCACACACCAACCGCCTTTCCTTCTGGAACTTTCCCAGTGTTTCAGTGGGGCGGAACTGGATCCTGCCATGTTTACATGGCTCCAGCTTTGGCGGTTTGGAAGCCACTGAAGACATGTGCAATAAATTCTTTCTACTGCCTCGAAAAACAAAGGAAAAAAACAACAACTGGGCAAGCCTCCATTTCTAATGGGGACGGTGAAGCAGATCCCAAGACTACGGGCTGGCTGTCAGGTTGACAAATGAGTATTCTCTTTCGAAAGGCACTCAGGAAGTTGAATGCAGAAGCTCCACAAGAGTTGTCGCCACCAGAGGCAGGCACCTCCCACCCAGCAGCTGGGCCTTTTTAATCTGGAGGTGGAGGAGGATAATGTTTCTTGTGAACCTCAAGGGGCTTCCCTCCATATGTTGGAAACATAGCTAAACACCAAGGCAAAGAGGAAGGGCGAGAGGCTTCTGGTAGGGAAACCTGACTATCAGGCACACCAGAATTAGCCACGGCTTGAAGCCGTTGTGACGGAGTCTGCCTGTGATGCCAGGGCTGGACATGGTTTGAGAGCATGGTAGTTTCACATGGGTTTCTCAGTCACCAGGGTACTGTAGCTGTTTCCAGGATATAACCCCATTGCCTGTCTCTGGTGGTGGAGCCCCTGGTTTATTGCAGGAGCTCATAAGAAAGCAGAGCTACCCAAGGAAGCATTTTTCAGGCAGGGACATACCTTGGTTTAATTGGGTTAAAGGCAAACACACATTTAGAAAAGCGATTTTTGCTTTGGTATTTAGCCCAAGAACATGTATTTTTTTTTGTGATTACAATATAGATAAATACTAAAGCATGCGTGTAATTATGCAAGGGAGGATTTTTACTACATGAGAAGACTTTCCCAGTCAGAGCGCTGGTTCCTCCCAGTCACAAGGGCCCCTACTCTGGAATCAATTGTCTTAGCATGAGTCATATCGATTTTCCAGGAATGGGCTTTCTGGTCCACTGTCCTGTGACCTCTGACCTACTTCAAGGTTCCCTTGCACTTTGGGTTGAGGTAAGAGCATCTCGGCTTGAGAACACCATGGCTGCCATATTTCACTGATGTGCCACAGATGAGGCACTATCAAGAAAGAGGATCACTTCCTGTTGTCATGGAGAAGTCTAATTGATCCCCAAAACAAACACCCCATTTCAGAAGTGACAAAATGAGAACAATTCATTTTGAAAAGAGAGGAAAGACTGGCGCCATCTATGAGAGTCAATGTTTGAGCACCAGGGTCCCTTTTGGTAGAATGAAAATGTATAGCCGAGGGTCCCTTACCACGTTATACTTGGCTTGGGCAGGATTTTTCTCATTGCTAAAACCAGCACCCACCTGTAGCCTCTGGGAGAGCAGAAACTGGGTCTGTATTGTTTGGCACGTTGTCCCTCCCCCTGCTGCTCTCCCCCGCCCCCACCCAGTAGCTGCTCAACAAATATTTGCTGGACAAATAAATAAGACAAAGCCACATTATAGAAGACATGAAAAGCTGGAAAAAAGATGAATCATTCATAATTGCCCCACTGTGGGTATTTTGGCTTATTTCCTTCAAGTCTTATTTCCCGTGAATATGCTCTTTTCTGTACATGTAAACATAATGTATTATTAGATTTAGCTCTGGGATGTGCTTTGTATTTCTCTATTAATATGAATGAAATGATGAAGCGGAAATGCACTGAAGACTGTAAAATGTTTAACAAATATCTCGTTATTAGTTATAATAAGCAGAGAAATACGGAAATGAATGTGGCTGACTTGCCATCAATACTCGGCCGCACAAACAGTCCCGCTGCCCTTGGATGCTGCAAATCGGCTTCTCTGCATCCTGCTCACCACGGGGAGCCCCTCAGTCTCATCTTGGCAAGAGAAACACCGACTTAAGCTCTTAAAAATCATCTGCTCCAACTTCCCTAGCCAAGAGTTTTCTTCCATGTCATGGACGAAGGATGAGCAGGGGAAGAACAACCATGTCTCTCAATCTACTGAACAGCGGCAGCTTCCACCAGTGCTCTCCTCTCCTACCTTCACCAGAGGAGAAAGAAGCTACGGTTCAAGTGCCAAGAAGCGCAGTACATTTGCTCTGTACTCAGAGCAAGGCAGACCCAAGAGGGCTGTCGCCACAGCCGTGGTAGGTGCATCCATCAAACCACAAAGCGAGGCTTTGCTTTAGACAACAAGTCACGGTTATACTCTTCAGCATCCAAGATTTCCCCAGCATACCTATTGGTTCTACCCATGCTTGATTCTTTGAAGCCCTGTGGACTTGCTCCCCAGGAACAAATGCTGAGAACTCTCCCCACCCCCACTTCAGCCTCTTCACTGACTCTCTCCATCTCGGCTTCTGGAGACCTGATCTAACACTGGCACAGTTTCCAACAGCTCATGGCAACTCTAGCCCCCCCTCAAAAGGGTCACCCTGAAAAAAGCAAAGTGCTGTCGAAAGAATGAACCCTTCAATTTATATACACCAGAGGATGGATGGGGACCAGGTTCCCGGGCTCTTTGTGAGAGGAACCCCACTTCTATCAGCACTGGGAGTATGCCCTGATGGGTTTCACACGGACCACGCCCAGTTTGGGTTTCTACAGTTTTCCACTTCTCTGATTCTGCGCAAGTCCTTTTCATTGTCCCTCTAACTCCCAATGGTCTCTGCATAAATCCAAGCTGAGGGCCACTCACCCTGGACTCCTGGCTCTACTGCAGTAGAACACGGCTGCTGGAAATGTGGTCTCCACTCTTAACTGGCCTTGCTTACTTCCGGCAGTGTCCAGGAGCCCATTGAGCCTAAGAGCTTAGGTTCCAGTATCTCTCAGTCTGTCTGTCTGTCTGTCTGTCTGTCTGCCTGCTTATACTGGGTAATTCAGAGTCTCACTCTTCTTGACTGTCACATCCTTAGCCCAAAATTTGGTTCAGCTGTCCATCTTGAGTCATTCTATGCCTTCAAGAATATGTTCTGTTCACATCACTTACCTCCGTCTCTGGGGTCTGTAGAGTCCAGAATAACCTCCCAGAATCCATGCCTTCATCCCCAAACTACCGCCTCTGCCACCTGCACTGCAGCAAAGGCTGACCTCCACCTTAACCAAATGACCAGGAGTGTGCACAGAATAGAGCGTGCATGAGATGGGCATCACTAATAAATACTTCCTTAGAGACCTAAAACATATAGCTAGTTTAAAGCTGGGTGTGGGGTGCACGCCTTTAATCCCAGCACTCGGGAGGCAGAGGCAGAGGCAGGCGGATCTCTGTGAGTTCAAGACCAGTCTGGTCTACAGAGGGAGTTCCAGGGCAGCCAGGGCTGTTACACAGAGAAACCCTGTCTCGAAAATCCAAATACATATATAATATATATATATATATTATATTATTGATGGATCTAAAACAAGTTTTTAATTCAGAATATCACTTTATGATGTATCTAAAGAGCTGTAGCCAGTACCAGGTGAAAGATGACAGAGTCATCTAATCACACGATGGGCTAACCTCATCTTTATGCTCTGTAACCACTTCCCCCTCAGCGGGAACCTCCCACTACACATGACTCTTCCTTACCCAGTTAACCGTCTTGGTTGGCTTGGATGGGGACTCTCTTTTAGTTCCAGCAAAGCAGACAGCAAATATTGGGAAGTTGGAGAAAGAAACTGCGTTTGTCTCTGGCTGCTCTGCTTTGAGACGGCCTCCCTACTGAGCGTCTGAGACAATCTCCCTTCTGAGATGTAAAACCCACTTTAGACATGAATGGTGCCAGCCCTCTCCCTGCCTTTCTGCAGACCCTGCTGACTGGGTGGGACTCTGCCCAAGGCTTCATCAAAGGGTGGGCGGGAAACTCCAGGAAGAGGCTTTGCTCTTCTTAAGCAGGGAGAGCTAGAGACTGCTTCATCCCTTTCCTTTTGTAGGCTGCTTTGAATTTCATTAATACAAATGCTAAGACTATCAAATCTGGTGTAGCGGTTTGTTTTAGCATTCACTGGCAATGAGTAACTAAATAACAAAAGGAGTGGTAGAATGTTCTGGGGGAACAAAGAATACTCAAGTATTCGGTGAAACAAAAAAGGAAGTTATATTTCACTTCTTGCACAGGTGATTTTAGGAGTCAATAGAAGGTTCTGGAGAACTGCATTTACTTAGTATTTTCTCACTTCTCCTCATGCTTCTGAGGTAGCTGGACTAAACTGAGGACCCATGATCTGGGGAGCATGGGGAACTTACCCTCTGCTCTTGTGTGGCCACGAAGGTCTGGAACCCTGGAGCCACCCCAAAGCCCAGCTCTTGGATGAAAGGCGGCTCAGACTGACTGTGGATCTGAACCTTCACTCCTGCTTCAAACGTTGTCTCCTCTGAAAGAACAAATGTGGACAGAGCCGCAGGTCAGGGACGGCAGGTGCTCACGAGGTCCTGGGGCTGAGCAGTCTCGGGGACACCAAAGGTATTGAGTAGTAGAAATAATGACCCCACATCTGCAGCACTGAACCCCGAGCCTGTGACTTTCCATAGAGATGGGGCCGTGAAGGATCTTGAGATAGAGAGTAACCTGCATTGTGCCGATGGGTTCAGAGCCGTCATAGGGGGTCCTTGTGACAGGGAGCAGGGACCAGAGTTAGAGAAAGAGAGCAAAGAGGCCAAGCTTCTGGCTTTGAAAAGGGAGAAAGAATCACCAGTTAAGAGATGGATGCAGTTTCTAGAAGCTGGAAAGAGTCAGAGCACGGACTTCCCCACAGAGCCTTCAAAAGAAACTCAGCAGAACCTTGTAGACAGCCTTGGTTGTAAAAGCTATGAAAGATCATTTAAGAATTGTGACTTTAGAACGTGTGTGTGTGTGTGTGTGTGTGTGTGTATTGTATGTGTATGAGTACTATATGTGCATGAGTAGCTCACTTGTGTGGGAGTCTGTGGAGGTCAGAGGCTGAAATCAGGATGTCTTCATCAGTTGCTCTCCCTATCATCATCATCATCATCATCATCATCATCACCATCACCACCATCATCATCACCATCACCATCACCATCATCCTTTTCCTCCTCCATTATTACTTTGAAACAGTATCTCTCCCTGAACCTGCTGCTCAGTATTTCTGCTAGGCGGGAGAGTCCCTGAGAGCTACCTGTCTCTAAGCCACTCTAGCCCACAAGTGCTGGGGTTACAGGTGCATACCACCATACCCAGCTCTTCCACACGGGTTCTGGGTAATTGAACTCATGTCTCCATAGTGGCCTAAGTACTTTACCTACTGAGTCATCTCCCTAGCCCAGGACCTTAGAACTTTTATTTTTATCTGTCTGTCTGTCTGTCTGTTTGCCTGCCTGCCTGCCTATCTCTTTGAGACGAGGCCTCACTCTGTAGCTTTGGCTGTACTGTAACTCATTATACAGATCAGACGGATCTCAAACTCTGCCTCCCAAGAGCTGGGATTAAAGGCGTGAGCCACGATGCCTGTCTAGAATTTCTTAAAAAGATGCATTTTTATTAAGCTGTGTGTGGTATGTGCACATGAGTTCAGGTGCTTACAGAAGCCAGAGCAGCTGGAGCTGAGGAGATTGTAAACCATGGGCTATGGTTGCTGGCGCTCTTCCTCTGGAAGAGCAGTGTGTGCTTTTAACCAACGAGCTAACTTTCCAGCCTGTGTGACCTTAGAATTAGGGGGAAAAAATGTGTTGTTTTCTGTTACAGCCAGAATGTGAATCTAATTCAAGTCAATTAGGCTACCTCCCTGTCTCAGCCACCATATTTGTAAAATGCGATTATAAGATGAGTAATATTCCTTCCCAAGCTGCCATCTAGCCTCCTGGAGACAGCCTCTGAAGCTTTTATATTTTATTTACCTAATTCTTTCCTGGGCCATGAGCTGAAGATGAGAATGTCAGGAAGAGAAAAACAGTGTATAGAATCAGAAACAAAAACACAGGGCTTGCTTGAACACCTGCCTCCTCTGAGCTTCACGAGATAGGCAGCCATAGCAGAGGCCGTCCTGACAGCCCGGACGGGAGAAATGGCCCTTGGCAGTCAAAAGGGACAGGAGAGGCAGAGCTTGGCTTCTTAGTAAGTTGTGCTCACTGTTGGTGGAGCACAGCAGGCACCAGGGGGATTGCATCAGCTTACAGATGAGGTTCCGAAGTGCAAACCTGTAGGGCTCCCCCTTTGCCTATGAGGAAGGAGCCTGGCTCTGCAGCCCTGCTCTCCCGCCCCCACTTCCAGCCTTGCTCTGAGAATAGTCCATGTGGTAACGCCTTCCAAGGCTGCCAGGATTGTCTGTTGCTGGTTCCCGGTAGCACATAGACACACAAATCCCTTGCCTCAAGTGTCCTTCTGCGTTGTCCACCTGATGCCTACCGTATTTGCCTTGAAGAACTCATCCCTCAGCCCCACCCAGAATGACCCCTTCTCTTGTAGCTCTTGTATCCACATGCCAGAGCTCTGCGAGACTCTGTGACTGTTCCCTAGCTGCCCGTCTCCTTCCTCGAGCTGAGCTTTGTCTGTGGGCCTCAGGCCTCTTCACCAGGACATCCAGACCCCGACTGAATGAACGAGGGGTGCTCTGGAACTGAAGCGTAGCCACTTACTAACAGGCAAGGCCAGTCTGGATTCCAAATGAAATGTTTCCAAAGAAAAGAGTGGGGAGAAGGTGGGTACATGCCAAAATGAGGGGAACTGGAGTAGAAGGTGAGGATGAGGGAGGGAGGTAGGATATGTCCGTGCTGGGTCCATGGTTTAGGGAAGGTCTGGGGCGCACCAAAGCTGCCAGAGGAGAGGAGGGCTGGGGCAGTCACAGGGATATTAAGACTGTAGAAAGTGTGCCAGTGACTGACTGAGGCAGGCTTGGCCTGGTCTGCGGTTTGGAGGTAGGCAGTACTTTCAGAATTTAGACTCGGCATCCAGTGGCTGATATGAGGCTTCATGAAAAGTGGTGTGGCTTTGCCAGGGTATGGCTTCAGATGGGGCTTCATACACTGGGACAGAATCATAGGCAAGCTATATATACATATGTATATATATGTGTATATATATACATCCCTCTAGTGGTCAACTGTTCTGTGGTTTCTTCACCCAGATCGCCCTACCTGTGATTGTTTGAATGAGAATGGGCTCCACAGGCTCATATGTTTCAACACTGGTCTCCAGTTAGTTAAATTGCTTGGGAAGGATTATGAGGTGTGGCCTTATTGGAGGGGGTGTATTACTGGGTGTGGATGTGAGGTTCCAAACACCCATGCCCATTCCCAGTTAACTCTCTGCCTCCTGCTTGTGGGTCCGGATGAAAGCTCCCAGCTACCATGCCTGCTTCCTGCTGCCATGCTTCCTGCCACGATGATCAAGGACTCACCCTCTGAAAGTGTAAGCCCTAATAAACTCTCCTATAAGTTGATCATGGTGTCTCTTCACAGTAATATAAAGTAACTAAGACACTATCCAAACACCGACGCACACAGGTTCCTGTTCACCTATGGTTCTGTATCACTATCTCCTATAGATGGTGGAGAATGTGCTTATTGTCCCTCCCAGACCCTAGCCTCACCCATGGCTGGTAGATTCTTAAGGAAGGGTTTTAGGTCAGGGAGGAACACTGAGTGAGAGTAGGGTGCCCAGTGGTTCAGTTCCAGAGCTATGTTCTCTAAATTCTGCCCAAGAAAGGGAATGAGTAGCCCAAGCACAGGCTAGAGAAGTTGAGAATCGTGGGACGCTGAAGTTACGAGGATGCACAGGAGTGCTTTCAGGGAGCCCTGGGAAGGAACTGGTAAGCTGCCGGCACTTGTTTCTAACTTGTGGAAGCTGCTATACAACTGGTCTTAGGAAGCCTTCTAGCCAGTAAAGATGGGCTCAGCACGGCTGGTGGCCTCCAGGAAGAAAGGAAGCTTTTCTGTGGCGAATGCCATGAGTAATGGATAAAACAATCAGCCCACGGAACCTGGCCAGTGAGGACCACACGGGAATAATCAGACTGGGCTGGGGTTTTGCAAGAGACCTTGGTTTATTCTAGAAGCTATATAATAGTAGCTGTAGGCACAGGTAAACCTAAAGCAAGCTCATTTTATTTTACATTAACTGCAATTGGATGGATGAGAGGAGCAGATGATGGATCTCTCTCTCTCTCTCTCTCTCTCTCTCTCTCTCTCTGTGTGTGTGTGTGTGGTCATTGCGTTCATGTTGTATGTACGTGTTTGTATGGATGTGTGCAGGTATATCTGCACTATGGTCATTGGTATCGTTCTTAATTGCTCTCCAACTTATTTTTTAAAAAGCTTTATTCTTAACCTTGTCTCTCTCCTGTGTGTGTCTCTGTGTGTGTCTGTGCATGGGTATATGCACTCATGGATCCTAGAGGAGCTGCAGTTATAGGCTGTAGTGAGCTGCTCAACATGGGTACTAGGAACTGAATTCGAATTTAGGCCCTCTGTAAGATCAGTGCACTCTCTTAACAATGAGTCGTCTCTCTAGACTCTCCAACTTAATTTTTAAAGACAGAATCTCTCACGGAACTGGAGCTCACTGACTTGACAAAACTGGCAGGCCAAAACCCTTTATGGTTCCACCTGTCGCCGCTCTGTCAGCTCCGGCCTTACTGGTGTGTTCTGCTCTGCCCAGCTTCTGTGTGGGAGCTGGAGATCCAAACTCAGGTTGGCGAGGTCGTCTCACAGGCCCTTTCTCCCCCACTCCCAGTTTCTGCTCTTCTGGACTTGTGCTGTGCAAGAGGAAATTTCTGCATGGAAGGAGCCATGCTCTGTAACCCTGAAGTGTGTGGCTCCAATGATTGAGAAGCTGGGCCTTTTATTTTAACTAATGGGAACAAATTGGCCGAGCCACTATGTAGCTAGTGACTTACTGGAGAGCACGGTGGTGGAGCATCCAACCACAAGCCTTCTCAGGGTTACAGGCATGATGGTGACTCCACAGTCACTATCCTGCCTTCTTGAATAGCTTTCCCTGTGTGTCCCTTGTCCACAGAGGTTCTGGGCTACTCCGGTGTTGATCTGAACAGCAAACGCGGGTGGATTTATGGGCAGACCAAGCTGTAGTTCTCAGTTATCCAGCTCCACTCTCCCCAAGTCTCATTTCCATGTCTCTAGAGAGAGCATGCTTCTATTCCTCCCTAGAGCTGCCCTTTATTTTCCTCTGGATTGTTCTCCAGGTTACTTGTGAATGGCAGTCCACTCCAACCCCTGCTCCTCTGGCTCCCCATCTCCATCAGTTCCTGAATATGGCAGGCACTTTATTGAGAGCTGAGGAACCAAATACAGTTTATTAGAACCAAACATAACCTCAGATTCCCCTACCTTTGAGGTTCTAGAATACTTGTTGAAACCACCCAGAGATCTCATAGTCTATCATATTCTCTCTCTCCCC